AAACCCCTAAACCCTGAAGTCCTTAAAGCATCCAGAATCCAACCCTCCAAGTGACCCTCGGCCTCTGAGGGCTCGCCTGAAATCACCTCGGCGCCGGCAGCTTGCTTTTATTTTTATTTTTATTGAGGGTTTAGGGTTAGGGTTTAGGGTTTAGGGTTTAGGGTTTAGGGTTTAGGGTTTAGGGTTTAGGGTTTAGGGTTTAGGGTTTAGGGTTGGGGTTTAGGGGAGGGGTAGAGGGTTGGCGGTTTAGGGCTCAGGGTTGGGGATTTAGGGGCTTGTGCTATTTGGAGGGAGGGATTTAGTGTTTACGGGTTTAGGGTTAGGGCCTAGGGTTCAGGTATTAGGATTGGTGCTGCTTTCTTTTAGTTTAAGAAAAGCTTCACAGGTGTTTCTAGAGGCTTTGTCAAACTAGGGGGTTTTGAAGCTCCATATACACTGCCTTTGTTGGCCCTTTTTCTACGAAACAGGACCATCCCCCAGAAAGATGCGCGGTTCTAGTGCTACGGTCGATGAAATAGTTCATGCACTACCCAGAGTAAGAAGGAACATACCATAATTCCCATAGTTTAGGGTCATTCATTATAGGTAATGCAGGACTTACATCGTGAACAGTAGTTCCGTGCGCTTTGTCTGGATCCACTGTGTCCTTCTAGAGCGAGACCATCCTTCCTGGTGACCTCTCCACGTGAGGATTCTGGAACTGGCAATACAACAAAGCTGAACCCCAACCCCTGAGCCCCGAAACCCCATCCACTCAAACCAAAAAGCCCAAAGGCCCTAATGCCAAGACTCCTGATTGCCCTCAAACCCTGAAGCCCAAAAACCCTAAGCAAAGCCCCAAAGACTCAAGCCCATTCTACACAAAACCCCACGACTCCTTTACGACCTCAAACACTGAAGCCCCAAAATCCTAAGCCCAAGAACCCCCAAGACCATTCTATCCAAAACCCTGCGACTCCGAGCAGCCTTCAGCTGAGCCGTGTCAGCAAACACTTTGGCCCCACAGTTGCTTGCTAGGAAACCCATTCATGGACCCTTAAGCCCTGCAACCTTTTGGTTTCCTGTGCAGAACACGTATAGCACCCTCATATATAGAGCCTTTGTCCACTGCTGTACAGTGCATACGCTACAATAGGTGCATGGAACCCCCAAAAAAACACACAACCCCTACACCTAAAACTCAAAACCCTTATAGTAACTCCCAAAAAGTTGGAAACCAGATTGAGGCCAGACAGTGCTGGGATTCCCTATACATGAATCTTAAGGACTGAGGCTATTGGGTTTCCAACTTTTGGGCTTCTACTGTAAACTTGAACCCTAAACCACCGGCCGGGATGGCCTTGCCGGAGCCCACCGAAGCGGAAAGCCAACCAAGTGAGCCTCAGAAAGGAGTGTCTTGCAGTCGGTTGACGGTTAGGGCCTAGGGTTAATTTGGAGCTGACGATAGTCAGGCCTTACCGGTTGTATCTTCGTTCTTGCTGTTAGGATTTGGAGTGTTTCAAGTCTGGGCTTATGTGGTATGGAAAGCACGGCTTGTATTTCGGACTAAGCGGTCCGGGCTTTGGGATTTTGTCACATGGGGTCCAGGATGTTTGCCTTCCGGTGCAGGAGTTTAAGGTTTAGGGTTTAGGGTAAAGGATTTAAGGCTTGAGTTTCGGGTTTGATCCCTCAACTGAAGCCTCTTGATGCGGGAACCTTTCTCTTCAGAGGTAGTTTGAGGCAGCCTCTGTTCCAGGATGTGAGATCCCCTTAGTGTCAGGTCGTCGTGTCTCACAAACTGTAGGAGTTTGTATAGAAAGACGACATTCCTGTATGTAGAAGCCCCAAAATTATACCCCAAGCTTTCAGTCCCAAAGCGCTGTCGGGTGGGTTGGCTGATTCGACTTGGGTGACTTGGGCGTAGGGGAAAATCGCAAAGCTTTCCTACAACCCCAACCCAAAACGCAAAAAAAGCAAGCCCCCAGATTAGGCCCTACAAACCCCAACCCCCAAAACCCCCTAAACCTAAGCCGCCGAACCCCAAAACCCCCCTCAAAAACGCCTACATAAACCACCCGTATAACCCTAAACCCTAAACCCAACGGGCTGGGGTCCCGGCCCGATCAAGACGTCCGGATGGCTGAACTGTGATGT